ATTGAGGCTCGCCTCAGGGCGGGAGGCGGGAAGGACAGTGGGGAGAGGGGCTGGGGGAAATGGGGGGAGAGATGCTGAGGGGAAGGAGCAGTAGGAGTTTCCCGTTTGGACCCTTCTGTTAATTTTTTTTGAACAGGTTTAATGGGGAGGCGCCTGACATCTCCATTAGGTATTTCGCTTTCCAGTCTTCAGCCTTCAAAAGATGTTTTGAACAGGTTTAATGGGGAGGCGCCTGACGTCTCCATTAGGTATTTTGTTTTCCAGTCTTCAGCCTTCAAAAGCTGTTTTCAGCTCCGAGGTCTCTGAGAGGAGACGTGTCCTGCATCTGGCTGGCCAGCACCCCACGCTCCCTGATTTTTTTTCTTTCAAACTTTTTTTTTCTAAAAAATTTCAGGCAACATCATCATCGTTTTGTACCTGTGTGCATCGCCCCCAGTTTCCACATTGTTTTTTCCTCTTCCCCAGGAATTTCATGGGCTGTTTTTGCTGCAGTCGGCTCACTGCTCCGGGGCAACGTTGTGCCATGAGGGAACCAGCCTATGCATCTCATTTTATTTTGGATCCTGGGTGAGAGGTAATAGTAAAGAATTTTTGCTGAAACTGCTGAAGTCCTGAAAATTTCCTGCAAATGCCATTTTACAGTAATCACCAATATAAAATCCAGTGTTACTGGCAGCCTAAGGCAGCTTCAGTCTGCTCTGAATGCTAGCAGAAATGCAGCAAAGAACAGTGGAGATGGGAAGGCCCTGTGTCACTCAGTCTCCCACACACAGCACATCATACTTCTGTTCAGTGCCACAGAAGGTTTCATTCTGGAAACACCATAAATCTTAGTTTAGTAGTACAATAGTTTGATTTTTTTAAATGTAAATCTCTTACACTACACAATTTAAGTAATAAAGAATGTTAGGAATTACATGGAGTTAATTAATAGTTTAACTATGTTCCATCATGTTGCAGGAAGCATGGTATATGAAACAATACTGTCCTGGCAGAGAAATGATTAGACAATATACTCCTCTTTTCCACCTCTGTCTTTATGGTTAGGTTTCCAGTTCATCCACTGCCACAGGTCAGCTTAATAATATTGACAATGTACAGGTGACACTTAAGTAACATTTAGAAGTTTAGTTTTCTTAGCTTTGAGGAGTAACTGAAGGTTAGATCAGACACAATGGAAACATTTTTTTAAAAAAAAGACCTGAGGCCTAAACTCCCAAAAGTATTTAGTCATTAGACTCCCAAGGAAATGGAATAGAAGCTAGATACTTCTTTGTAATACTTTCGTAAATTTGGGCCTCATACCAATTTTCCAAACAATCTAAACATATGTAAGTGTTAATTGCCTAAGTACTTTAGAAGAGGTGGGTCTAAAGACCTAAAGTCTCCCTCTGTTACTGTGAGATGAAGGCCACAGTCCTAAACCCTGGCTTGCAAGCAAGACCCTCCCATGCTGCCTTTGATGAATGTGGTTTTAAAAAAAAACCCTCATATTGACAGGTCTAACAGGATATAAAGTCATGCATTGTTTGACCAATTAACAAGATGCTGCAGCATATGTTTTATTAAGTATGGTTGCAGTGAATTAAGACTACATTCATCTTTCAATATGACAAGTGCTGTGTAATGAGCTTACAATGCAATCACAGTTACTCTGACTATTTTCACAGATGTGAATTCAGTTTTCCTAGCTCCTCTGAATGAGCTTTCTTTGGATGGGGATTGAGCTGAGTGGTGAGGAGGTGAGGGTGCGCTTCCCAGAATGGAAGATCTGCACCAGAAGTCAGTGCAAAATAGCTCTTCTGGTTTTCTGCTGCCACCTTGGCTTACTTTGTAATAATTTCCTTGTGCACACAAGGCTTTAGACTGCCTGTGATTATAGCCAGGTGAGCCAAATGATGTCTTCTAAGCCCAACCTGCAACACCTTAGAGCATCTGTTTAGATCTGCACTTGGCCCTGGGGCTGCTGAAGTCCCCTGCACTGATAACTGTGTCTGCAAGGACAGCTGTGGGCACGGGGGTGGTCTGCCTTGCTCGTGTGTTGAGACATCATGACATGACCCAGGTCCAGTTCACAGTGACCCTGTGTTGTACCTGAGCTCATTAGCCTTACTGGAAAGCAGGTATATACATTAGGGCACGGTGCCATGCAAGCAGCCTGACATGATTCCCAGCATGATTAGGTTCTCTCCAGCACTTGGAGCTAGGTTTTTTTCCTTTCAGTATCATTTGATCTGCTCAGTATAAGGACATTGCAAACTAAGAGGGAAAAATAGTCATAGTGCACCTGAAACTTACAATTTGTAATGATTAATCTTTATTCTCCCTCTTGGCTCACTCCTGAGTGCCTGTGCAGAAGGATGTAGCTACATGGAAACTTTTGAGGGTGCATATTTATTCTAATATGGTTGCATTACTATAAACCCCCAGGTCTGTACTCCTAGTACCTGGGTGCTTGTTTTGATTTATAGTTAAGTCATAGCAAAGCATGCAGCTAACATGAGAGCTCTTATTGGTTTATTTTTCTTTCAGCAGAATCTGCATGCCCATGTAGAAAATTACACCTTTATGTGCACAATAGTACAGCAAATAGCTACACTTCTATAATTATATTGACATACATCTAGATCAGGGCCTTCTGTACTGAAATTGATTATACTCAAAATGTTAAATTTAGATTATCTCCCACTGAGGTTAGTGGAAAAATTCCCCTAACTTTCAGTGGGATTTACACTCTGTCGTTAAACAGAATTACTGAAGATCAGAAGGAGCTTGATAGTGTTGATCACCTCTTCTGGTCATTTGTTCTACCATTTTTATCTTGTGTGACTAAAGCAACAGTGACAACCACCAAAAAAAAAAAACCCAAAAGATAAAAACTCATCTGTATTTAATGTAACAGAAGCCTGTTATCATGTTATCTCTACTTCATTTTTACAGTAGGAAGAAAGCCAGGTCTGTATTGAAAATACTGCTTCTGTTTAAGAGCATGCTTCTGAAGACATAGGATTCACTATGTCCTATGTTGTATGTTCTTATGTTGCACTGGTACAAAGTCTTGTTTATTATGTTCAGTAAAAGATGTCAGAGAATATGTTTTGGACTATAACAAGTTTTCACAGCTAAGGTGCAGCCCAGAGAGCTGATACTTTTCTAAGACAAACTGACAGAGCTAAAGAACATCTCTTCCTGAACACATGTATTATACAAAATGATCTTTTTGTCAAGATATAGTTTATTCTTTGTATTAATTTAGAAGGGACATAATAAGCTGGAATAATTTGAGCTGGCAAAATAGTTAGAAAAAGCATATCCCAGAGATACTACGTTAAAAGAATTTATATGACTTAAGGCAGCCCCAATATGAGACCCATGAGGTGGATATGAGGCAGAACCGGCCCCCCGTCATGGTGAATGCACTCTTGTCAGAGGCAGACATCATCTGAATCAGTGATTCTGGAGAATAGAAACCACCTTCTGGTTGGATGAGTTTTGAGACAAAAGACCATATTCCTCAAAGCAGCAGGGTAGGGAGTTGTGCATGTTTGATTTGGTTTTTCCCACACATTGTTTTTTCATTTAAAGGCAGTATATTACATTCTGTTTTCTGTGTTTCAAACATCTGTTATTTTGCACGTTCATTTACCAATTAATTAATAAGTTCTTTTCCCTTTCCAGCTATTGTACTGTGAACAATCAATCAATTAGATTGCTGCAGAAAAAAAAGAATAGCAAGATGTCTGGCTAATGTGCAACCTACAATATGAAAGAAAAGGCAGCCTTCCGAAGTATGAAAGTATAAACAACATCAAACAACTGTACAACAAAGACAAAGTCTAGCACCAGCAGGCAAAGATTCCAGAAACTGAAAGCCTAAACTCCCTGCTGAAGGAGAAAAGAAAGCATCAGAGAGGGAGAGCAGAGCTGAGAGAGGGAATTAACACCAGTGAAGTGTGCGGTTTCTGCCATTTTAAGCCATTTGTGTCTCGCCTGTTGATGTGGGTTTCCTCACAGAGGCTGTGTGTGCATCTGGAGTTGGGCTGCTGGGGCTGATACTGCCAAGGGATCTCCCTGCTGCTGGGCTGATCCTGTCACCTGCAGAGTGAATTTCCCTTACTCCCTGCAGTGCTCCTTTCCCTGACTCCCCAGGTATGCAGGACACCGCCCCCAAAGTGCCCATTTGTGACCCAGGATGATATTTTGATACGAGGCTCACAGGAAAGCTCGCCAGTTCGGTGATGAGTGGTCAGTGGAGAATCATAGTTGACGTCCTGCAGGAGACTGTGTTGTGCCAATGAGTCCCTGCTAACAGCAGCTTGAAAGGCCAGGTGTGACAGCAGGCAAGGGCAAATCAGTGCAGCTAATTGACAAAGTAGGATAACGACAAGTGACAAACCGAATGCTTACCATCTACAGTGAATTTATATAGTGTGACAGCAGGCAAGGGCAAATCAGTGCAACTAATTGGCAAAGTAGGATAACAAGAAGTGACAAACTGAATGCTTACCATCTACAGTGAATTTATGTTTATACAACACACTTGAAAAATACTGCTTAGCATGTCAGCACAAAGTTTAATTCTTGAGTGAAACTGATTGCTTTATTAGAACAGTATCAGTTATGGGTTTTCCATGGGAGAGACACTATTCAGACAGATCAAGATGTGGTAACAGTATTAATTGTCTCCTCTTTTTGCAGGTCATTTGTTTTATCAGATTGCCTGGACTTACAATGCTCTGAGTTGTAGTAAAAATATTTTTCTACTCACATGAGGTTTTACAGTACGGAAACTTCTAAATGTCAGGACTGAACAGCTACAAGTATAAAAAAAACACAGAGGTTTTTTGCTGGTCAGCTCAGCATCTAACTTTCTGACCATTTTTATAAGTTAAACATATATAAAATTTTTAAGATCAATCTGAAATCTTGGAGCTTTAGGAAAGATTTAGGAAAGAATT